CCTCCAACAACATCTGCAATAAAACCTGTATTTAACACCTGTAACAACACCTCCAACAACACCTGCATTTAACACCTGTAACAACACCTGCAACAACACCTGCATTTAACACCTGCAACAACACCTGTAAGAACACCTGCAACAACACCTGCAACAACACCTGCATTTAACACCTGTAACAACACCTGCAACAACACCTGCATTTAACACCTGCAACAACACCTGTAACAACACCTCCAACAACATCTGCAATAAAACCTGTATTTAACACCTGTAACAACACCTCCAACAACACCTGCATTTAACACCTGTAACAACACCTGCAACAACACCTGTAACAACACTTGCAACAACACCTGCAACAACACCTGCATTTAACACCTGCAACAACACCTGCATTTAACACTTGTAACAACACCTGCAACAACACCTGCATTTAACACTTGTAACAACACCTGCAACACCACCTGTAACAACACCTGCAACAACACCTGTAACAAGACCTGCAACAACATCTGCAATAACACCTGTATTTAACACCTGTAACAACACCTCCAACAACACCTGCATTTAACACCTGTAACAACACCTGCAACAACACTTGCAACAACACTTGCAACAACACCTGCAACAACACCTGCAACAACACCTGCAACAACACCTGCATTTAACACCTGCAACAACACCTCCAACAACACCTGCATTTAACACCTGCAACAACACCTCCAACAACACCTGCATTTAACACCTGTAACAACACCTGCAACAACACCTGCAACATCACCTGCAACAACACCTACAACAACACCTACAAGAACACCTGCATTTAACACCTGCAACAACACCTGCATTTAACACCTGTAACAACAGCGGCAAAAACACCTGCATTTAACACCTGCAACAACACCTGCATTTAACACTTGTAACAACACCTGCAACAACACCTGTAACAACACCTGCAACAACACCTGCAACAACACCTGCAACAACACCTGCAACAACACCTGCAACAACATCTGCAATAACACCTGCATTTAACACCTGCAACAACACCTGTAACAACACCTGCAACATCACCTGTAACAACACCTGCAACAACACCTGCAACAACACCTGTAACAACACCTGCAACAACACCTGCAACAACATCTGCAATAACACCTGTATTTAACACCTGTAACAACACCTCCAACAACACCTGCATTTAACACCTGTAACAACACCTGTAGCAACACTTGCAACAACACCTGCAACAACACCTGCATTTAACACCTGCAACAACACCTCCAACAACACCTGCAACAACACCTGCAACATCACCTGTAACAACACCTGCAACAACACCTGTAACAACAGCGGCAAAAACACCTGCATTTAACACCTGCAACAACACCTGCATTTAACACTTGTAACAACACCTGCAACAACACCTGTAACAACACCTGCAACAACACCTGCAACAACACCTGCATTTAACACCTGTAACAACACCTGCAACAACACCTGCAACAACACCTGCATTTAACACCTGCAACAACACCTGTAACAACACCTGCAACATCACCTGTAACAACACCTGTAACAACACCTGCAACAACACCTGCAACAACACCTGTAACAACACCTGCAACAACACCTGCAACAACACCTGCAACAACACCTGCAACAACGCCTGCATTTAACACCTGCAACAACACCTGCAACAACACCTGTAAGAACACCTGCAACAACACCTGCAACAACACCTGCATTTAACACCTGCATTTAACACCTGCATTTAACACCTGTAACAACACCTGCAACAACACCTGCAACAACACCTGCATTTAACACCTGCAACAACACCTGTAACAACACCTCCAACAACATCTGCAATAAAACCTGTATTTAACACCTGTAACAACACCTCCAACAACACCTGCATTTAACACCTGTAACAACACCTGCAACAACACCTGTAACAACACTTGCAACAACACCTGCAACAACACCTGCATTTAACACCTGCAACAACACCTGCATTTAACACCTGTAACAACACCTGTAACAACAGCGGCAAAAACACCTGCATTTAACACCTGCAACAACACCTGTAACAACACTTGCAACAACACCTGCAACAACACCTGTAACAACACTTGCAACAACACCTGCAACAACACCTGCATTTAACACCTGCAACAACACCTGCATTTAACACTTGTAACAACACCTGCAACAACACCTGCATTTAACACTTGTAACAACACCTGCAACAACACCTGTAACAACACCTGCAACAACACCTGTAACAACACCTGCAACAACACCTGTAACAAGACCTGCAACAACATCTGCAATAACACCTGTATTTAACACCTGTAACAACACCTCCAACAACAACTGCATTTAACACCTGTAACAACACCTGCAACAACACTTGCAACAACACTTGCAACAACACCTGCAACAACACCTGCAACAACACCTGCAACAACACCTGCATTTAACACCTGCAACAACACCTCCAACAACACCTGCATTTAACACCTGCAACAACACCTCCAACAACACCTGCATTTAACACCTGTAACAACACCTGCAACAACACCTGCAACATCACCTGTAACAACACCTGCAACAACACCTACAAGAACACCTGCATTTAACACCTGCAACAACACCTGCATTTAACACCTGTAACAACACCTGTAACAACAGCGGCAAAAACACCTGCATTTAACACCTGCAACAACACCTGCATTTAACACTTGTAACAACACCTGCAACAACACCTGTAACAACACCTGCAACAACACCTGCAACAACACCTGCATTTAACACCTGTAACAACACCTGCAACAACACCTGCAACAACACCTGCAACAACACCTGCATTTAACACCTGCAACAACACCTGTAACAACACCTGCAACAACACCTGCAACAACACCTGCAACAACACCTGCAACAACACCTGTAACAACACCTGCAACAACACCTGCAACAACACCTGCATTTAACACCTGCAACAACACCTGTAACAACACCTGCAACATCACCTGTAACAACACCTGCAACAACACCTGCAACAACACTTGTAACAACACCTGCAACAACACCTGCAACAACACCTGCATTTAACACCTGCAACAACACCTGTAACAACACCTGCAACAACACCTGCAACAACACCTGCATTTAACACCTGTAACAACACCTGCAACAACACCTGCAACAACACCTGCATTTAACACCTGCAACAACACCTGTAACAACACCTGCAACATCACCTGTAACAACACCTGTAACAACACCTGCAACAACACCTGCAACAACACCTGTAACAACACCTGCAACAACACCTGCAACAACACCTGCAACAACACCTGCAACAACGCCTGCATTTAACACCTGCAACAACACCTGCAACAACACCTGTAAGAACACCTGCAACAACACCTGCAACAACACCTGCATTTAACACCTGCATTTAACACCTGCAACAACACCTGCATTTAACACCTGTAACAACACCTGCAACAACACCTGCATTTAACACCTGCAACAACACCTGTAACAACACCTCCAACAACATCTGCAATAAAACCTGTATTTAACACCTGTAACAACACCTCCAACAACACCTGCATTTAACACCTGTAACAACACCTGCAACAACACCTGTAACAACACTTGCAACAACACCTGCAACAACACCTGCATTTAACACCTGCAACAACACCTGCATTTAACACCTGTAACAACACCTGTAACAACAGCGGCAAAAACACCTGCATTTAACACCTGCAACAACACCTGTAACAACACTTGCAACAACACCTGCAACAACACCTGTAACAACACTTGCAACAACACCTGCAACAACACCTGCATTTAACACCTGCAACAACACCTGCATTTAACACTTGTAACAACACCTGCAACAACACCTGCATTTAACACTTGTAACAACACCTGCAACAACACCTGTAACAACACCTGCAACAACACCTGTAACAACACCTGCAACAACACCTGTAACAAGACCTGCAACAACATCTGCAATAACACCTGTATTTAACACTGTAACAACACCTCCAACAACAACTGCATTTAACACCTGTAACAACACCTGCAACAACACTTGCAACAACACTTGCAACAACACCTGCAACAACACCTGCAACAACACCTGCAACAACACCTGCATTTAACACCTGCAACAACACCTCCAACAACACCTGCATTTAACACCTGCAACAACACCTCCAACAACACCTGCATTTAACACCTGTAACAACACCTGCAACAACACCTGCAACATCACCTGTAACAACACCTGCAACAACACCTACAAGAACACCTGCATTTAACACCTGCAACAACACCTGCATTTAACACCTGTAACAACACCTGTAACAACAGCGGCAAAAACACCTGCATTTAACACCTGCAACAACACCTGCATTTAACACTTGTAACAACACCTGCAACAACACCTGTAACAACACCTGCAACAACACCTGCAACAACACCTGCATTTAACACCTGTAACAACACCTGCAACAACACCTGCAACAACACCTGCAACAACACCTGCATTTAACACCTGCAACAACACCTGTAACAACACCTGCAACATCACCTGCAACAACACCTGCAACAACACCTGCAACAACACCTGTAACAACACCTGCAACAACACCTGCAACAACACCTGCATTTAACACCTGCAACAACACCTGTAACAACACCTGCAACATCACCTGTAACAACACCTGCAACAACACCTGCAACAACACTTGTAACAACACCTGCAACAACACCTGCAACAACACCTGCATTTAACACCTGCAACAACACCTGTGACAACACCTGCACTTGGTGGTGTCTGTCTGTCTGTCTCTCACCTGTCTGCCTCTCACCTGTCTGTCTCTCACCTGTCTGCCTCTCACCTGTCTGTCTCTCACCTGTCTGTCTCTTAGGTGTTGCTTATATAAACCTGTCTTTCTCCTCAGGTGTGCACGTTTTTGGCCTGTGTGCGACCGCTCTGGTCACTGACATCATCCAGCTGTCTACAGGTTACCACGCCCCCTTCTTCCTTACAGTCTGTAAACCAAACTACACGCTGGTCGGCCTCTCGTGCGACAGGAACGCCTACATCACCAGAGACATCTGCTCAGGTCATGATCAGCACGCTATCATGGCCGCCAGGTGAGTCATCTGCTACTTCCTGTTCTCTTAACGTGTCTGAAGATGGTCGATCATTGATCAGTTGGTTTCTGCTCTCTCCTCGGCTTCTACAGGAAAACTTTTCCTTCCCAGCATGCAACTCTGTCGGCCTTTGCTGCTGTTTATGTGTCTGTAAGTATAAACAACAACAAACTGTTCATATTTACAAGTTATTATGTAAAGTGTCTTGTATACTCAGAAGGATTTAACCCTTTAAGCTCTGATTGTATGGATTGATTCTGTGTTTCAGATGTATTTTAACTCCACCATCTCTGACAGCACCAAGCTGCTCAAACCCGTCCTGGTGTTTGCGTTCGCAATCGCTGCAGCGCTGACAGGTCTGACTCAGATCACACAGCACCGCAGTCACGCTATCGACGTGTACGTGGGCTTCCTCATCGGAGCCTTCATTGCTGCTTACCTGGTGAGAGCAACAAACACAACAACAAGACAACAAAGACAACAAGACAACAAACACAACAACAAGACAACAGACACAACAACAAGACAACAAAAACAACAACAGGACAACAAACACAACAACAAGACAACAAACACAACAAGACAACAAACACAAAAACAAGACAACAAGACAACAAACACAACAATAAGATAACAAACACAACAAGACAACAAACACAACAACAAGACAACAAACACAACAACAAGACAAAAAAAGACAACAACAAGACAACAAACACAACAACAAGACAACAAAGACAACAACATGACAACAAACACAACAACAAGACAACAACAAGACAACAAACACAACAACAAGACAACAAACACAACAAGACAACAAACACAAAAACAAGACAACAAGACAACAAAAATAACAAGACAACAAACACAACAATAAGATAACAAACACAACAAGACAACAAAGACAACAACAAGACAACAAACACAACAACAAGACAACAAACACAACAACAAGACAACAAAGACAACAACAAGACAACAAACACAACAACAAGACAACAAAAACAACAAGACAACAAACACAACAACAAGACAACAAACACAACAACAAGACAACAAAAACAACAACAAGACAACAAACACAACAACAAGACAACAAACACAACAACAAGACAACAAAAACAACAAGACAACAAACACAACAACAAGACAACAAACACAACAACAAGACAACAAAAACAACAACAAGACAACAAACACAACAACAAGACAACAAACACAACAGCATCACCCACATGTTCAACACACTTCAGCAGCACTCACATGTTCAACACATTTCAGCAGCACCCACGTGTTCAACACACTTCAGCAGCACCCACATGTTCAACACATTTCAGCAGCACCCACATGTTCAACACACTTCAGCAGCACCCACATGTTCGACACGTTTCAGCAGCATCCACATGTTCGACACGCTTCAGCAGCACCACATGTTCAACACGCTTCAGCAGCACCCACATGTTCAACACACTTCAGCAGCACCACATGTTCAACACATTTCAGCAGCACCCACATGTCAACACACTTCAGCAGCACCCACATGTTCAACACATTTCAGCAGCACCCACATGTTCAACACACTTCAGCAGCACCCACATGTTCAACACATTTCAGCAGCACCCACATGTTCAACACACTTCAGCAGCACCCACATGTTCAACACGCCACGCGTCAGCAGCACCCACATGTTCAACACATTTCAGCAGCACCCACATGTTCAACACACGCTTCAGCAGCACCCACATGTTCACACACTTCAGCAGCACCCACATGTTCAACACATTTCAGCAGCACCCACATGTTCAACACACTTCAGCAGCACCCACATGTTCAACACACTTCAGCAGCACCCACATGTTCAACACATTCAGCAGCACCCACATGTTCAACACACTTCAGCAGCACCCACATGTTCAACACGCCACGCTTCAGCACCCACATGTTCAACACATTTCAGCAGCACCCACATGTTCAACACACTTCAGCAGCACCCACATGTTCAACACGTTTCAGCAGCACCCACATGTTCAACACACTTCAGCAGCACCCACATGTTCAACACACTTCAGCAGCACCCACATGTTCAACACGTTTCAGCAGCACCCACATGTTCAACACATTTCAGCAGCACCCACATGTTCAACACACTTCAGCAGCACCCACATGTTCAACACGCACTTCAGCAGCGCCCACATGTTCAACACACTTCAGCAGCACCACATGTTCACACGTTTCAGCAGCACCCACATGTTCAACACACTTCAGCAGCACCCACATGTTCAACACACTCAGCAGCACCCACATGTTCAACACATTTCAGCAGCACCCACATGTTCAACACACTTCAGCAGCACCCACATGTTCAACACACTTTCAGCAGCACCCACATGTTCAACACACTTCAGCAGCACCCACATGTTCAACACGCTCAGCAGCACCCACATGTTCAACACATTCAGCAGCACCCACATGTTCAACACGCCACGCTTCAGCAGCACCCACATGTTCAACACAGTTCAGCAGCACCCACATGTTCAACGCCACGCTTCAGCAGCGCCCACATGTTCAACACAGTTCAGCAGCACCCACATGTTCAAACACATTTCAGCAGCACCCACATGTTCAACACATTCAGCAGCACCCACATGTTCGACACATTTCAGCAGCACCCACATGTTCAACACACTTCAGCAGCACCCACATGTTCAACACGCTTCAGCAGCACCCACATGTTCAACACGCCACGCTTCAGCAGCGCCCACATGTTCAACACACTTCAGCAGCAACCACATGTTCAACACGTTTCAGCAGCACCCACATGTTCAACACACTTCAGCAGCACCCACATGTTCAACACACTTCAGCAGCACCACATGTTCAACACATTTCAGCAGCACCCACATGTTCAACACACTTCAGCAGCACCCACATGTTCAACACATTTCAGCAGCACCCAATGTTCAACACACTTCAGCAGCACCCACATGTTCAACACGCCACGCGTCAGCAGCACCCACATGTTCAACACATTTCAGCAGCACCCACATGTTCAACACGCCACGCTTCAGCAGCACCCACATGTTCAACACAGTTCAGCAGCACCCACATGTTCAACACGCCACGCTTCAGCAGCGCCCACATGTTCAACACAGTTCAGCAGCACCCACATGTTCAACACATTTCAGCAGCACCCACATGTTCAACACATTTCAGCAGCACCCACATGTTCGACACACTTCAGCAGCACCCACATGTTCAACACGCTTCAGCAGCACCCACATGTTCAACACGCTTCAGCAGCACCCACATGTTCAACACGCTTCAGCAGCACCCACATGTTCACACACTTCAGCAGCACCCACATGTTCAACACACTTCAGCAGCACCCACATGTTCAACACACTCAGCAGCACCCACATGTTCAACAGCTTCAGCAGCACCCACATGTTCAACACGCTTCAGCAGCACCCACATGTTCAACACGCTTCAGCAGCACCCACATGTTCGACAGCTTCAGCAGCACCCACATGTTCAACACGCCACGCTTCAGCAGCACCCACATGTTCAACACGCTTCAGCAGCAACCACATGTTCAACACGCTTCAGCAGCACCCACATGTTCAACACGCCACGCTTCAGCAGCACCCACATGTTCAACACGCCACGCTTCAGTAGCACCCACATGTTCAACACGCCACATTTCAGCAGCGCCCACATGTTCAACACGTTTCAGCAGCACCACATGTTCACACACTTCAGCAGCACCACATGTTCAAACACTTCAGCAGCACCCACATGTTCAACACGCTTCAGCAGCACCCACATGTTCAACACACTTCAGCAGCACCCACATGTTCAACACATTTCAGCAGCACCCACATGTTCACACTTCAGCAGCACCCACATGTTCAACACGCCACGCGTCAGCAGCACCCACATGTTCAAACACATTTCAGCAGCACCCACATGTTCAACACGCCACGCTTCAGCAGCACCCACATGTTCAACACAGTTCAGCAGCACCCACATGTTCAACACGCCACGCTTCAGCAGCGCCCACATGTTCGACACATTCAGCAGCACCCACATGTTCAACACATTTCAGCAGCACCCACATGTTCAAACACATTTCAGCAGCACCCACATGTTCCACACATTTCGCAGCACCCACATGTTCGACACATTTCAGCAGCACCCACATGTTTCAACACGCTTCAGCAGCACCCACATGTTCAACACGCTTCAGCAGCACCCACATGTTCAACACGCTTCAGCAGCACCCACATGTTCAACACGCTTCAGCAGCACCCACATGTTCAACACGCTTCAGCAGCACCCACATGTTCAACAGCTTCAGCAGCACCCACATGTTCAACACGCTTTCAGCAGCACCCACATGTTCAACACGCTTCAGCAGCACCCAATGTTCAACACGCTTCAGCAGCACCCACATGTTCAACACACTTCAGCAGCACCCACATGTTCAACACGCTTCAGCAGCACCCACATGTTCAACACGCTTCAGCAGCACCCACATGTTCACACGCCAGCTCAGCAGCACCCACATGTTCGAACACACTTCAGCAGCACCCACATGTTCAACACACTTCAGCAGCACCCACATGTTCAACACACTTCAGCAGCACCCACATGTTCAACACGCTTCAGCAGCACCCACATGTTCAACACGCTTCAGCAGCACCCACATGTTCGACATGCTTCAGCAGCACCCACATGTTCAACACGCCACGCTTCAGCAGCACCCACATGTTCAACACGCTTCAGCAGCAACCACATGTTCAACACGCTTCAGCAGCACCCACATGTTCAACACGCCACGCTTCAGCAGCACCCACATGTTCAACACGCCACGCTTCAGTAGCACCCACATGTTCAACACGCCACATTTCAGCAGCGCCCACATGTTCAAACACGTTTCAGCAGCACCCACTGTTCAACACACTTCAGCAGCACCCACATGTTCAACAC